AAAGTCTCTCCAGTGTCCCGCTAAAAGACTACACTCCTGAAATCTAACCAGGTAAATTAGCATTTCACACTTTTGGAGAAAAAATTATTTTTAGTTCCAGCAAAGACGGCTTTATTAGTCACTTCCTCAAAGGAGAGGACCACACAGATGGATGCAAGAAACAAGTGCTACACTTCTTGAAACAATTGTGATTCATTTCACATTTGGTATGTTTCTGTTCTTCTTTTTTGGATTTTCCAACCATATGTAAAATATCAGTTGCTGTTACCTACCAGAGAATTCACAGTAAATGGCTGATCCATGTTGTCCTGTCTACAAAATGAAGGTGTTCACTCTGTCTTCTCAATCACTTTATCTGTTTCAAAGACAAAAAAGCAGAGTTAGGGTTATTTTTTTAATAATTCCAATCTCAAATCTTAAACCCCATGGTTATTTCTACCTCAGAAGAATATGAACATGTTGAAATAAATTCAATAATCTCAGTTTTTAGAGAGACCATTGGAAATCACTTCCTGAAAATACAAAGCTACAGGTGGTTATGGTTTCTGAAGCAGGTCTTTAAAAGTGGGGGTGTGAAGAGACTCACTGCCTTGCACCCAGAATAAGTCTGCTGGGTGTTATCTTACTGACAACTCTATGCAAGGTTATAGAGTGGGTTTACTTTCTTCAAAGGGAAAAAGATCATAGCGGTTAATAGCATGGACTCTGAGGCCATGGACTTAGACCTGGAGTCAATTTGGGCTTAAACTAAGCCCTACCAGCGATGGCAGTTAGAATTCTCAAAGGGCTCTGAGATTCCTGCCCCTTAGTATCCATGGATTTGTGGACTCCCCTCCCCTTGGTGTGGACGAGACCTGTAACTGGCATCTAATCAATAGAACATAGTAAAGATGATGGGATATTGCTCTCATGCCATATTATGTCACATGGCAAATAAAAAAGCGATTTTGCAGATGCATTAAGGCCCCTGATCTTTTAATGTTAATAAAAGGAAGATTACCCTGGATGGGCCTGGCATAATCAGGTGAGATTTTCAATGAGGGAGACACTCTCCTGTTGGCCTTGAGATTCGGCCAGCATGAGTTCTGTGGTTCTAGGGAAATGAATTCTGCCAATAACCACGTGAGCATGGAAGAGGACCCCAAGCCTCAGATAAGACCCTTACCCTGGTCGACATCTCCATTGCTGCCTTGTAAGACCCTGAGTGGAGGACCTAGTTATGCTGTGCCCAGACTCGTCACCCACAAAATTGTGAGATAATAAATGAATGCTGTCTTAAGTCATGAAGCTGATGGTGATTTGTAATGCAACAATAGAAAACAAATATGTTAGCTGTGTATCTGCAGGTAAGTTATCTAGCCTTTCTGTTCATCTAAAAAAGGGGGAAATAATAGTACCTATGTTATGCAGTTGTGATAAGGATTAAATGAGTTTGTATATAAAGTACTTAGAATAGTTTTTAATACATAGTCAACATTATATAAATGTTAGCTATTATTAGAATCTTTATTTTTCAGTTGAGACTCAGAGATATTAAGCGAATGTATCCAAGTTCAAATAATCACTCAATAAATGTTAATCTTCTTCTTTATAGTAGTTTAGGTCAAGCTTTGCTTTACCACTTCCTACTTCTAAAATTATGTTGGCCTTTATACTCCATTAATCATTTATGTCATGATGGGCACATACCTTCTCCTCAGTTCCTCATTTATGAAATGAGGGGGTAGGGCTAAATTCTTTCAAGCTGTAACGTTCTGTGATTCTAGAGATCTCAGAAGTAGATCATTCAACCTTTCCATGTTATTTTTTGGCCTGAATCCGTGGCCGAAAAACCCTTCAAGGAAAGTCACTTGGCATGTTCTAGCCTTTCCCCTTCATCCTCTCCAGGGATCCCTGGAGATCTAAGCTCACAGGTTGCAGAAATGCACAACAGAAAACTGACCCAGAGAGAGACACAGTCACAGTGTAGTTTAAAATCCAAATTAATTCTGGCACCACTGAATGTAGGCAATGCCAGTTGGCAAAGTACCACTTTTCAGTGAAAAGAAATAAAGCAGGAAAAAAAACCTGACATTACAAGAGTTAAAGAGACTGAACAAAGAGGCTTACGGGGAGTTTGGAGCTGGGTGGGAAGAGAAAGGAACAAGGAAATACTAGCCATTGACTAGGGTCTTGCAAAACTTTTTAGAGTTACATCTTTAAACAGAACAAATAATTTAAAAAGTGGGACACATTAGAACAGCAGTTCTTAAAATTGACTTTATCTAAATTTTATATAAACTGAGGACTTGTCTGTCTAAAATGCTGACTCCTGGAACTCACCCACAAGGATTCTGAATCCATCAACTTTAAGCCCACCAATAGGCACTGAGTGTTAGGATGCGGCCCAGGTGATTTTGATACATGAGGTTTCCAAACACCACTTTACAAGGCACTGCATTTATGAAGGTTTCAAGAAGGATTCTTAGTTGCAAGCAAAGGCACCGACTCCTGAATTCATAGGATAATGGAAAGATTACAAATTTCCAGAAGGCCAGAGAAATCGGGACTGGAGGCTACATATCTAGGAACATCACCCCAAATCACACAGCAGCACTGGTCTGATGGGTCAGGAAGCCTGCTGCTGCCCTGGGAACCCTGTGGAGCTGCCTCACATTTCTTCATGTCACTAGTTTCTATTTCAAAGTATGAGAAGGAGGTGTCTGACTGGCAGAGCCTAGGTCGCATGCCTGCGACCTGGCTGCAACAGTGGCTGAAAATGCAAATAGCTAGTACTTCACACTTCCATAGAAGGCAGTGGGGTGTGCCAAGTGAGAAAAGGTTCAGGGTTCGGTGACCAAAAACAGCGGTCAGTGTAAACAAAAATCAAACTTCTCTGTAATGAGCTTCTAAATGTATGAGATGTTTAATTCAATATATCTTAAACACCAGAATTTATTAAATTGCAAAAATCGCCAATTACTATTAACTCCCACATGTAAATTTATAACTCAGAAATAGAAACCAACTCCCCGCAAATGTAAGATGAAAGAAGTTTATAGATTGGTCAGTTTATTTATTTATTTATTTATTTATTTATTTATTTACTTATTTATTTGGGCCATTAGCTACTCGATGGCAGTGGTCTTGTCTTAAATTGCTTTATTTTTAAATCCCTAGTCCTGGCATTTATCAGTTACAACACAAATAATTACCAAAGTTAACATTAGCAGGTTATGTTCTAACAGGAGCTGTCAAAGTGTGGTACAGGTGCCCTGAGATCCTTTTAAGGTATGTGTGAGGTCAATATTATTTTCATAATATTACTACAACATCATTTACTTTTTTTCCATCAATCTCTCATAATTGTATAGTGGAGATCTCCAAGGGTCCAAGTTCACAGAATCTTACTTGAATATTCTTGTAAATATGGTTTTATTTTTAATATGGTAAATAGTCTGTTTTATTTTCTAATAGGGTAAATATATATAGATATAATCCACATAAACAAAGCTTTTTATTGTCCTTAGTAATTTTTAAGAGTACAAAGGGGTCCTAAGACCAAAACATTTGAAAACCTCTGCTCCTGATCAACTACACAAATAAAGATACAAAACAAAACAAAAACTCACCATGTTACTTTATTCTAACCAGAAATACAGTGGCCCAGAAGAATCTGAAAGAGGAAGAAATAAATGTCAAGTATCACCTTCCATTTGCACTGCTAGGATCTGATAAAATAATTTGAAAACTGAGGGTGCCTTACCTGATCCAACCTGAGACGCATGAAAGCAAATACAGCAGACTGCTGTATATTCTGCAATACCCATTCTCTTTTTCTAATATACAAATATAATTTTTAGCTGATACAAAGCCACCCAGGTAAAACCTAAATTTTCCAGCCTTTCTTTGAGTTAGGCGTGGCCATGTCACCAAGCTCTGGCCAATGGGGTATGAATAAAAGTACTGTGATCAAAATGGATCCTACCCTTTAAAGGAAGGGACATGGCCTTCTCTAGCCACTCCTCTGCCCTTTCTGCTGGCTGCAGGGCTGCCACACACTGGAGTCATCTTCAGGACAAGGAGGAGCCATGGCAAAGCGAGAAAAGAAGGTGAGCAGTCTAGTTCGCTTACATGCAGATCACTATGACAGAGACAAATTTCTATCTTGTCTCATACTTTGCCTTTGTTTAGGCAGCTGGACCGGTATCCTGACAAATGTAATAAGTTTAACCTAGAACGGATGATTCAGTGTAGCCCAGGGGAGACTACTGCTGGTACTGATGAGGAAATACACTTCCTCCATCACCCCACCTGCCTGGCACTCTGCCTGTGCTGCTGCCTCCACACCTTTGGCCCAGGTTCAGGGAGGAGCACAAATATCCCACTTTCCTCCCACAGCTCACCTAAATCCAGCCCCGACTAGGACATGCCAGTTATCCATCCAGAAGTTTCAGACTTTTGTGGAATCAGTACCACATAATCCCTCAAACATAGAAGATATAGCCTAAAAGGCAACATTTCGTTGTCATAAATGTTTAATTTGGCTATTATAATAGATTTTTTAAAATTAAGTTAGTTATCAACATTTAAAAATTGGGAGAATCATACAAAAATTCTGATTTCAGCTTCTTAAAAAAAAAAAATCAGAGGACCTAGCACCACTGGGACCAGTACATTAGTTATTATTTATCTTCTATCCTGAGTTTAGAACAATGCCTGCTACTTAAGAAGGGCTCGACATATATTTATTGAATGAATGAATAAAAGAATGAATGAAATAACTCCCTTAATATCTACAGTATACTCCCCCTCACATACCCAGGCATATAACAGAAGCTTAGTAAATATTTGGCTCCAGATCTGTGCTAAAATATGTCCCCAAGTGCACCAGTCTTCAAGAACTTACAGGTAGGTCATTTAATTCTCTTAGAACAGGTCTTAATTCAATCATAAATTCAATCAACAAACATCAACTGAACACCTAGGACGTGCCAGGCATTGCTTTAGGTATGTGGAACATGAATAAAATTGGCAAAGATTCCTGCCCTTTTAGAGTTTACAGTCTAGTCAGGAGAGCCAGATTAACAATATACCTTTTAAATAAATAAGCTGCATAGTCAGAAGGTGGTATGTCCTCTTAAAAAAAAGAAAAAGAGCAAAGTAAGGGAAGCAGGTGTGCAGTGGAGGCTGGGCAGCTGATTACGGTATTAAATGGGAGTTTTCCAGGTAGGTCTCATTTTGAAACCAAACATGAAGCCAGGACTTGAAGGAAGTGAGGGATGAGGAAAGAGTTAGTGCAGAGGCCCTAAGGTGGAAGCACATGTGTGTGTCTGAGAAAAAGCAAAAAGGGCAGTGTGGCTGGAGCAGGATGAGCAGAGAAGAATGGTGGGAAAAGAAATCAGAGAGGCAGGGAAGGTACGGAGGCCTCACAGACCACCACAGGGACTCCGGATTCTACTTGGAGTAAAATGCGAAGGGAGCCATTCAGGGTGTTGAGCAAAGGCATGACGTAAATGACATAATTTAAAAAGAGACCTTTGGGTGTGCTGTTGAGAATAGATTATGGGGGGGAAGGGAGGAGGCAGGATATCAGCGGGGAGGGGTAATGGTGTCTTGAGTGGTACAGGGAGGTATTGACAGCAGCGGATCAAGAAAGTTGAATGTTTAGTCTTTGCTGAGGAAATTGAATCCATTTTCATGTAGGTTCTCCATTTCCAACAGGAGGAAATGAAAACGACGTAAGTGCCACAATGATAAGCAAACGGTACTTCAGGGAAGGAAGTAATCCGCGTTAACTTGAACAGCACAGGAGGCTGCCATGATGCTGGCAGGGCCCACTTCTCCAGTTCCTCGCACTTGAGCAGCAATGGTGGGAAGACAGGTTGAAGATGATTTCAAGTGCTAAAGACAACATTGCAATTTGGAGGTTCAGAAATATATTGGAAAAAAAAATATCCAAAGAGTGCCAAAAGCAGATGGAAAATACTCAACATCAGGCATGAATAAAATATAAATTTTCTTTTCAAAGTGGGGGCACACAGTGCAAAGGCAGCCTTTGGAGTCAACCCAGGTGAGTCATAGGTCCATTATCCATTTGCTAGTCATCCTTACTAAACCCTCCTGGTCTCACTGTCCTCATTCACAACCAGGCTCTTCACGGCCCCACTTCACTTGAGAGTGGCTTACAACTAACTGAAAACATTCATTAGGAATGACTGATTTAATCTCAACCTGCTCCCTACTCTCCACCTCCCCAACAGAGCCCACATTCCTCTGATGTGATAACATCTGAACTACAGCCTGGTGACATATTTAACCTGTCGTTTGCCTCTTGAGAGCTCTTTTTGCTTTAGAGCTTCTGTCATCTTGCCTTTATCGCTAGCCTCTTTCCTCACTGTAGCCTCCAAAGACACAATCATTTCCCTCTTGAATGACCTTTTAAAGAGGAGAAGGGTAGTGTCTGCTTCTTGTAAATCCTCTCACACAAGAGCTTGGGGAGCCAGGCACAGAAGAGGTATTAAAACCACATGTTGACAATGAGCACACAGAGGACAACCCCTGCCCCATGGGTTCAGCTAACAAGTAGCTCCTGGACCCAACTGAGCAGTTCCCAAAAGTGCCCAGAGGGCATGTGGCAAAAATGGAGTGTCTTTATGACAAAAGAAAAAAACATGATAAACAAAAACAAAACAACAAAGAAAAAAAATGAATGAATAAATGGAGTGTCTTCTATGAGTGTTCTGGGAGGAGCAGGAACCCTCTCCAAACTGACATTTCACAGCTCGGGAGTTTATACAGGCTAACTCTCTCTATGCCCTCACAATTTTACAGCCCAACAGCAGAATCTTTTTGATTTTTAGGGTCCAATGTGATGTCTCCATGTCCCAATTTCCTCCAAGGAAGTGTGGAAGCAGCTCTACAAGTCTGCCTTTTAAAACCAGCCGCAAACAATAACACAAGTAAACAGAGAGAAAAATCTCTGGCCTAGCATAGTATTTATTTTGTCACCATTTTAGCCTTAATTCTCTTAACTTTCCTTTTCTTTCTTTTTTCTTTTTTTTTTTTTTAAATACTTTTTTGGTGGCTCAGCTCAGAATCCTGACCCACTTTCATACACAAAGCTGTATTTCCCGAATATAGAGAGGACACTTCCAGACAGAGAACAGCCTCCTTAGAGAGGAAGTATATAGAGCAGAGCCAATGAGCCGTCACCCAAAGGCGTCTCTCCGGCACTCCTTTCAACCTGAATGCTGTAGTGAAAGAATTAAGCAGAGAAGAGAGGCCAAACTCGTCACACCACCCCACTGGGTCGAGTTCAAGCTTTCCATGGCGAACAAGGTACAAAGTACTTAGCTGGAGATAAATAAAGGAAATGATCATAACCTTAGACTGTGGGCTGCAGTGACCTAATCTGATTTGCATAAAGGGAGGTAAATGGCCTTCCTTTTTACCTCCCTTTATGTAAATCAGATTTAATGGCCTTAAATGACAAAAAAAAGAATCTCCTGAGTCACCTTCTACAGGTTAGGACCTGGTTTAGGGAAAATTTTTAAAAATGACCTAGACATTAATCCAAAAAAATATATGTACCCCTATGTTCATTGCGGCGTTATTCACAATAGCTAAGACTTGGAAACAACCAAAATGCCCATCGGTAGATG